GAATTTGAAACCTGGATTCTTTCTGCTGGTGAAAATTTAGGAGTTTTGCTAAAAAAAATTTAATAGAATAGATTGATAATGGAAGTGCTTTTACTAGTGAATATTGATGAAGAATGGTTTTTTTCTTCTATCTAAACTGTACTTAAAATTTTTTAGTCTTTTATCTGAAGTATATAAGTAGATTAGATTGTATAAAGTCTAGATAGACCCAGCTTTCTTGGTTCACCCCTTACCCGCCCTGTGGGAGAGTGCAGGAACCTGAGGTTTCTGTTCTGTTTTCTTTGCCTCAATGGTCGCATGTAGTCGAGGCTGGGGTCAGACTCACGGTGAAGCTGAGGTAGACCTTGAACTCCTGAATGCTGGGATTCAAGATACATATTTTGCTCCCTTTCTCTTGTCCTTTCAGGACCTCGACTGGATTTTGATCCTGACATTGTTGCTGCTCTTGATGATGATTTTGACTTTGACGATCCAGATAACCTCCTTGAAGATGACTTTATTCTTCAGGCTAATCAGCCAACAGGAGAAGAGGGAATGGATTTGCCGTATGTGTGGTGCTTCTGTTGAGGGAGGGTAGCCACAGTCTAGGAGTTAGAGTTTTAAGAACATGTGGCCTGAGATAGCTGTATAGAGCGGAAAATAATTGAATTTGAGACATACTCTCAGTAAGTGGTATTAAAATCCCAGAATCCTGGTGGCTGGTTGCTTTACCTACCATGCCGGATCAGTCCAGTACCATTTCTAGTTCCGCTTCCTCTAGAGCCAGCCCTCAGGAGTGGCCTCTGGGCTTGTGTGAAGTTGCTGTCGGTGTTTCAGGGGTCTTGACAGCTGACTTGTGACCTGTTGGCTCTAGGGAATCTGCGGGTGAAGATGACAATGAATGGGAAGACGTGGACAGTGAGGAAGGCAGCAGTGATGACTGTAGCTCTGCTGGCCCACTGTCAGAAGCAGGGGACAGATCTGCCCCTGCGTCACCTCAGGAAGCCATCAAAAAACACCTATTTTGGGAAGAGGAAACTAAAAGCCGTTTTACAGAGTATTCTATGACCTCCTCAGTCATGAGGAGAAATGAGCAGCTGACGCTACATGATGAGAGGTTCGAGAAGGTGAGATCCCTGAGAAATGCCACTGAGTTCTGTCTCCCTGTGCAAAAGAGAGATTGGAACCAGAGTTAAGCCTTTCAGGAACTGCCTGTCGCATTAAGACTGATCAGAGGTGCACCCTGGTCTGGATTCTGGAAAGAGCCTGTATAGGGCCCAAAAGTTGACTGGTCAAACATCCTAACATCTCTTTCTGATATTTGTGTATGACCATAATCGGCAGACTTTTGCTATTTTCCTAAGAGTTGCCTGGCTTAGCATCAACAAAATTCCATTATTTTAGTTCTTCATATATAACTAACACTAAACAAAAAATTAGACTGTGAGATACTTTAAAACCTGATGTATAGCAGTTTTGACGCCTGTGACAGGCCAGCTCTGGTTCACAGCACAGTGTGGACTATCCACACAGGTTCTCTCACCTATTCTATCTCTAATGTGCTGATTTATGTACATCATCTACAAGTTTGTATTGGGTTAGGGTGTGGTTTCTCCACGGGCAGAGATTCTCAAGTGTACATCCAAGTCCCTAAAGTAGTAGTGTCTGGCATGTGGTAGGACTTGAAGTGTTCTTGTCAGTAGTGAGCAAATGAAGGAGTGCTTTCAAGATTACAGAATGTACAAGTTTGCTAAAGTATCACAAAACTGTTCTCTTCTTGTCAAGAGGGGTCCACTGTTCAGTACAAACACCTCACTCATCAAGATGGAAGGATAATGCATAACAGTGCTAACAGCATCTGAACAAGAGTGGAATTTATACAGTAGGCTCCCTCAACAGCGTGAGCCTTGAGTCTGCATCACTGAGGGATGCAAAATTATCTTTAAAGTGTTCTGAGGCAAAGATCTCTGCATAGCATTTTACTTTCCAATCTGAGTAGAATAACTACTTTTTATTTTAATATTAAATAGAAGGCTGTTTTCAGACTAATTGTGTGTCTCTGAAAATATGTCATCTGTGGGGTTGGAAGTCCATGCTGCTTTTGCAGAGGATCTGAGTTCGGATCCTAGCTCTAGAGGATCCTGGGCCCGTTTCTGGCCTCTGAATGCACTGGTCCGAGTGTATACATGCAGTTACTAATGAACATAAAAATAAATCTTTAAAACAATATCTTCTATGCCATTGTCAGTGGTGCTTCCTCTCTGCTGATACAGTAATGATAGCTGGGAGCTTCTAGTAGTGCTGGATTACTATGTAGGAGTCGGGTTAATATAAAAAATACATAGTTAATTCATGATATGTTTTTCATGGCATCTTTTTTGTTGTTTGTATTCAAGTTTTATGAACAATATGATGATGTTGAAATTGGAGCTCTGGATAACGCAGAACTGGAAGGTTCCATTCAAGTAGACAGCAGTCGGTTGCAGGAAGTTTTGAATGACTACTATAAGGAGAAGGCAGAGAAGTATGACAGCTCTTCCTTCTTGAGCTGCTTTGTTTTCCTACCTTCAAGTGACTGTTGGGGGGGAGTCAAAGTCTAGCTGATGGACTCGAGATCATGGTGTAGTAGCTAAGGTTAAAGTGGGAAATAAGGTACAAAGAGACATTGGAGTCAGGAAATAACAAGGGCTTCTGGCCTCAGGCTGAAGAGTCATAACTTAGAAGTGTCTGCTTTCTTCTTTTTTCTGAAATGGTGGGTGTTCCGAAAAGTGAATAGTTATGGCTAATAGATAAGCTTTCCTTCAGTGGATTAGCAGAGCTCACCAGTGAAGTATTTGCTCAGTCAGCGTCTGTATCAAAGTGCCTCTTATCTGAGAGAAGCTGATGTATTAAAATCTGCTAACAGGTCTTGTACCATGAAACACTGCAGCATGCAGATCCCACAGCACGAAAGGCGCCATAGGATTTAAGTGAATTCTCCGCATACTTTGGAGAGATAGATGAGCAGCTGGTGTTCATCTTAGGGAATCTGCCATCTTGTGTGATGTGGAACCATGTACAGATACAGCTAGATTTGATGTGCCTGTCAGCAGAGCAAATGAATGTGCAAACCCTGGGAGAGTGGAGCAGGACTGGGTAGATGTGCAAACCCTGGGAGAGTGGAGCAGGACTGGGTATGGTGACATGTACCAGGAGCATGAGAAACACAGAAGTAGGATTTAAAATTGCTCTTGTCTCTGGAGCTGTTTTAGTGACATGTGATTTAATGTTTTCTTTATCATGTTTTCATTTTATAAAATGCACAAAAAAGTTGTGTAAAATTGAATACTCTTGAGCCTTTTGAGGATCAAGATCTGCCAACAAACGAGCTTGATGAATCTGAAGAGGAAGAGATTGTTTCTGTAGTTCTTCAGGAAGCCAAAGAGAAGTGGGATTGCGAATCCATTTGTAGTAAGTAGCTTATTGTCCACTCAGCTGCTAAAAGTATGAAAGTAATTTAAAGTGTGTGGGAAAGTAGATATATTTTAGTAGAAGTTCAACTCTTAGGGAATTTGTGAGAAAGGCTTAGAAAGAATATGACTATTCTGCTATTGAGTTGTAAATAATTTCAAAATGGTTTTCAGAGAGGCTCTAAAATGATTTTGCTCTATAAAAACACTGAGACTGGGCACGTGGTGTGAACTGTGTGGTGCTTTTGCTGAACTTACAGTGTACTTAAGTGACACATGATCTTTTTCCAGGTACATACTCCAATTTGTACAACCATCCACAGCTTATCAGATATGAACCAAAGGTAAGTACTGACATCTGGAGCTTGTTAGAGTACCATTTTCAGGGCTGGAGAGGTAGCGCAACAGTTGAGATCACTGCCTGCTCATTCAGAGGACCCAGCTTGGTTCACAGCACACAGATCAGGTGGTAACTCCAGCTCAAAGGATCTGATACCCTCTTCTGGCCTCCAGAGGCACCCATACATATGGCATATACTCATGCAGATACCCACTTAGAAATACAAGTTTATCCTTACTGCCCTTTTCTTGCAGTGAGTAATCCTTTGTTGGTGGCATTGCCGTTAGGAAAAGCACAACAGTGTATCATTAGTGAGCTGTTTTGAATAGGAATGGCAAATAACTAGTGCTCTTTTTTCTTTGCTTCAGCCCAAACAAATCCACCTATCTTCTAAAACGGGAATACCTCTCAATGTCTTACCTAAGAAAGGACTCACAGCAAAGCAGGTTGAACGCATGCAGATGATCAATAGCAGTGATCTACCCAAAGTGTCAACCCAGCCACGTCCCCACAATGAAAGCAAAGAGGATAAAAGAGCCAGAAAGCAAGCCATAAGAGAGGAGCGGAAGGTAACTGCCCTCTGATGTGGGGCTTGTAAAGAGCTGCTGGGAGGGCATGGTGGAAGTGCTCTTTTGTGGACAGTCTGTTTGTATACATGTGTAACCTGGGGATCCTCTCGTACAGGAACGAAGAGTTGAAAAGAAAGCTAACAAACTAGCATTCAAACTGGAGAAAAGAAGGCAAGAAAAGGAGCTGCTGAACTTGAAGAAAAACATTGAGGGTCTAAAGCTATAGGTGTGGAACATTCAGTATAAGTTATATTTCCGTTTCGGTGGTCTTCATTATGCTCCATAATTAATCAGGATCTTAAGAGAGATAAACTTGTCCCTGTCATTTTTATATGCAAATAGCTGACAAAAGTAGAATATTTGTATTTTTATTCAAATGAGGTTCTTTTGTCAGCTACCTTGTAACTATTATAATGTTTTGAGTTTATTGTAAGCTTATATTTCCTCTGAAAGAAGTGACTTCATGAAGGTAAAATGTTTGGCTAAATTAAAGGAAAAAGTCTTTATAACATGCACGGAATTAGTGTGTTCATTTATTTGTATGGTTGTCAGAGTTGTTCTTTGCAGATGTTCTCAAATATTTCTTTGAAACCTCTCCACGCCTTCTCAGGAATTACATGGTTTAATTTGCCGTCTGTAGAGGAGTGGTCTGGTTAAGCTCAGTTTTGAAATGCTGAGTTTATTCTCAGTGGTGAGAAGACTGTTCCTGAGAAGATTCCACGGGTAAGAGCTGATTTTCCCGTGTCCACAAAACGACCCTTTCAAAAAGACTGTGAAGATGAGCGCTGCAGTTGTGGTTGGGATTTCCTGCCCTGGGAGCAGATGGCTTTTTCCCTTTGGGATTTAGGAACAGCATAGCTGGAGCGATCGGGAATACTTACTTCATTGTAACCTCGAAAGTTTGTTGTTTAATGTTTGGAACTGTCCACAACTTATTAAAATACATACTCAGAAGTGTCCAGGTTTTGATGAGTTGTTCCTGTTTGGACATCTAGAGACTGATTCAAGGCTTAGGCAATGACTCCATCATAATGTTCATTATTTGGTCAACTGTGACTTCTCACTGACCTTTGCCCATTTGCCCCTGACCAGTGTGGACACCGTTGGTCAGAGGGAAGAACAAAATGGCTGAGGCAAGGCCAGCTGTGGCAGGTGAGCTGCACTTGATGGCTAGATTTTTACAAGTCTTGCCCATGGCTGATGGGTATCACCTTGTTCTAAGTTTTATTCATTTAAATCCAAATTACTGTATTTCTTTTAGAGTTGTGAAAAACTCCAAAATTGTATTCTGTTAAAACTTTAACAACCGAAAGTAAAAATAAAAAGGTGCATACGGTTTGTCATTGAGGAAATGTAGCATTAGTGTGTGCTTAAATGCCAACCTGAAGAAACAGAGTTAGTTGGTGTTTGATGTGAATATTGGGAATAAAAATCCTAAATGGATGGGCCATTTATCATGTTGACCATCTCCACAGAAGAGTCTCCAAGCCTTCAAGAATCTTGGGCACAGGATGTCACTCTGGTGTGGTCCTCTTCAAATTCATCTCTTATAAATAAGAGAATGCAACTCAGCTGTCAGTCTTGAGATGGCATGTTGCTATGGGGGCTGATGAATTTATAAGCTTAAAGACTGTAATTCTATTCCGGAGAACAGTTCTGTGGTGACTTTAATGAATTAGTAGGATTTGTTAGCAAATTCTCTGTCCACACCCCAGACCTGAAAACCACCCCCTCCCCCAAACACACCCCCAACTCCTCAGTATTTAGTTCTCTGTAAACAGTGTTGAAAACTGAACATATCAGCTCCATGCTGCATGATAGGAGTTCACAGAGATAAGAGGGATTTTGCCTTCAAGAACTACTTGGTTGGAGACAGTTCAGAAGCACAGATAAGTGCTGATGCCATCATTGTGACAAGCACCACTTGTGATGAGGACCTGCGTACTCACTGCTCCCCTGAAGTCTTTAGATAAGCCTTCAAGGTTGCTCAGTTGCTACCTTCCTTCGATGATTTTCAGAGTATGTGTTTTAAAAGCATATCCGCCTCCCAGGCACTCCCTCTTCCCCTGCTCTGTGTTCTCTGTAGCACTGGCATACAAGGCTGCTTCTCAGGATCCTCTCTGACTAGGGAAAGGTTGGAGAGCAAAACCTTTTGTTTACCACTTTACCCTGCTGGCCACGCTAGCGCCTGGAATTTAGTGAATGGTGTTAAAGGGCATAGGAATGGATGGGTACAGGGTAAGATCGTTCATAAAAGAATGGCTTAAACTTGGGCCAGTACAATGATACATTCATAAGAGTAAGCAAGGAGAAACCATCCCAGGTGGGCATTGAGAAATCTACTTTTGGTTATTGTATGTGTAGATACACATGCCACTGTGCACATGGCAGTCAAAAGACGGCTTCGTGGAGTTGGTTCTTTGTGTGGGTTCCGGGAACTGAACTCAGGTCACTGGCCCTGCCTACTGAGATGAGTCTTGTTTGAACATTGTCCTGGATTGGTTTCAAAGCTTTGTCATTAGATAATTCTGTAGTATTATAAGTCTGAGTGTCTTCACTGCTGGGGCCCTTTGTGCATGCTGTCTTAATGCACTGTATAGACATGTAGGATCCAAAGCCTGCATTGTGACATCATTCTATCACCTCAGTGGAGAGCCACCCCAAACCCTAACCCCTATTCACATATTCCATGTTGTTTTTGTTTTTACATGTTGACAGTGGTTTGCTTTAACTTGCCTGTTTGATCTAGTTAGAGGGCAGAAGCATAAGGATTCCAGTACTTTGTAAGTGAGTGCAAATAAGAGAACACAGAAGCAAGCGGCCTCAGGATCTATTCTAGGCTTGTTTTCCCCCCTACTCATTTATAAACTACCCAATCTTACACCAGACATTACCCCTTTTTTCTTTAAACCACTTATACCCGTTAACACAGCCTCCTTATCTTTGAACCAACTAGAAACACAAACCTGCCTCTGAAGGCAGCATTTGCAGCTTAGTCGAGGTGTCTTAGAGATGACCTAAACAGCCCCTAGCTCTGACTTCAGCTTCTAGAGTATGTGCACCTGTGTGCACATGTCAGTGAGCAAGGTGCTGAGTGAATCCTGGAAGCCTTCTGCCATGGGAGGAGTTAGGCTTGCAAGCTGCATTCTTGGCTTGTGTTTCTGTGTCTGAGCTCACCACGAAGGACCTCCACCTTAGTGTCAGTACAGAGCTACAGCACTAGCCTGAAGTGGTTCTGAGTTTAAGAATAGCGATGCACATTTGGAAAGGAAGGAAGAAAAGCAAAAAAGGAAGTTAGAAAGTGATTATCATTTTTATCTTAGCACTCAAATGTAGTTACTGTGTGTTTTTGTGGTTTTAATTTTTTATATGTATATATATAATGTGTATATATATATATACATATATATATGTATATATATAATTTTTTTTCAAGACGAGGTTTCTCTGTGTATCCTTGGCTGTCTGTAGACCAGGCTGGCCTCAAACTCTGGGAAATCCTCCTGCCTCTGCCTCCCGAGTATTGGGATTAAAGGCATGCACCATCATCGCCAAACTCTGTTTCTTTTGTCTACATGTAATTCACAAATCCTTTTTGTTGCTTGGTTGATTTCAAGGGGTTTTGGGTTTGTTTGTTTGTTTATGTGTTTTTATTTTGTTTTTCTAGATAGGGTTTATCTGTGTAGCCCTGGCTGTCCTGGAATTCAATCTGTAGAGCAGGGTTACTTCAAACTCCTCCTGCCTCTGCCTCACAAGTGCTGGGATTAAAGGCAAGTGCTGGGATTGTTAAAGGTGTGTGCCACCACACCTGACTGTACCTTTTTTTTTAAGTCTCTTACTATAGTCTTGGTCAGAGTTGAGCTCAAGTCCTCTTGCCTCCTAAGTGCTGGCGTGGCAAACGTATTTTTAATTGGTGTATTCTCGTTCATCAGTTAGCAACCCATGTTCCTGAATGGCCACACAGTATGCTTTTCTGCTTTCCAGGTCATGTGTCCTCTCAGCAGCACAACTGCAGACAGTGTGAAAGCAGCAATAGCTATAAGAAGACGAGTATGGGGGCACTCCCATAATACTTGATCTTCACAAACATTCCGTCTCCGTGTGTTCACGGGTCACGGTTCGCTCACTCCTACTTAACTGTTTCCTTTTGACAGAATATGCATAGCTTTGCAAAAAGTGGCAGGATAGCCAAGGGATCCCTTGCACCCTTAACCCAGCTTTCCCCCAAACTTCTTGTTGAACAGCTGCACTACAACATCAGAACCAGTAAATGTCATTAATGTGTGCTCTTGGCTCGGTACTGTTTGACATGTAACCACTACCCTCCATTGGCAAAGAGCCAAACCTCTTCCATCACACAAAGGGAGATTGTTCTCATCCTACCGTCTCACGTCCAGCCTCCACACACGAACCATTCCTACAGCTTGAGAATCTAATGTCTAATTTCCATCTCGGTCATTTTGACATTTGATGATATTTTGCAAATGGAGTCATGTCAAATGTAACTTGGCTTTATTTCACTCAGCATTGAGATCCTTTTAAGCTGTCCCATGGATCAATAGCATTCCTTTTTATTGCTGTGTGGTGTTCCAACGTATGGGTACTCCACAGTTCATGTAGCCTTTTGTTCATTGAAGGGTATTTTGCTTGTTTCAAAGTGTTCTTTTAAGGTTATATGGATCAAATCTTTGATTTGAGTCAGTACAGAGTATGACAGTATAGACCTTGAACTTCATGTGTGATTCAGCTGTTGAGGAAGATACCCTCTTCAATGATTATAGACAAGCTTCCAACTTGAATGTTGTTCAGAATAGAGTGGTCCATCCATATCCAGGTTTTTAATTGGGTCATATCTTTTATTTTAAAGTACTTGAACTCATTAAAACTCACTGATTTAAGCCAAAGATCATTGGTCTTCTGGGGGGTTCCAGGTACTTCATTGATTAACAGGGACATCATAAACCTATAGTTGAATTTTTGTCTATCCTTTGTAGAGGCAGAAACTTGGGTTCAAATCTCAGGGTTACCACTTGGAATTTGTGGACTGAGAGAAGTCACTTAGCTTTCAGCCTCCATTTTCTCTGTGAAAACCACACCAGCCCTGTCTTAGAAGGTAACTGTGAGGAGCCAGTGAAATAACCTAGACATGGAAAGAACCAAATAAATATGACTTTAACAAAAATAAGAACGTTACCTTCAGTAATGTTGCGGGGAAAGGACAGTTTTAGAATCAAGTATTTATTAACAAGTTGGGGGGGGAGTAGCTTTGTTGAAATTTTTACTTTTTTTAAGACCCAGTTTTGCGGACAGCGGAAAGGACTGGAGGGGGAGTATTTCTGTGGGCTGAGGTGGATGGCCTGTGCTGAGAACACAGACACCAATTAGCGGACCTGTGAAGAAATTGTTTAAATCAACAGCGTCTGCACACCCTGCCATCTGCTTCCTGTTAAGCAGATCTCTCTTTTTCACATGGTTCCCCTGTCGGTTTCCATGGCCCTGCTCTCTGCTTCTCCTGGCTTATCACCATCATTTTCTTGGCCTTAAGTGGAAGCTTCCCTAAGGATCCTCTCCACTGCTTTTTCCACGACTTCGTCCCTGGCAGTGTCCTGCTTTACCTCATTCCCCAAAACCTACATCTGCGTCCCTCACCCTGACCTCCCTCATTTCCATCCTGCTGGCTGGACAGCTCTGTTGAACTCAGTAGTTCCCAGACTAGGTCATTTTTCTTCCCCAGATGCACTTTTTTTTTTTTTTCAACTCCCTAGTTCTATCCACAGACCCGCGGTCTTCTCTGGCTTCCTGCCTGTACACGTAGCATTGTCCCCAAGCGTTCATCTTTCTATCACTTCCCCACCCTCACCCCAAAAAACTCGTCCTGTTGGAGAGTCTTCGGTACATTTTCTCCTTCCTCGCCTGTTTAAATCTCCATCCCAGTTTTAAAATTAACACACCCCTATCCATCTTCAAGTATGTCATGTGAATCCTCCACAGCTCTGTGCTGGTTCCCTTGAGGACCACAGTGTTCCAAGATGTCCCTCCTTGTCTATGTAAAAGCCATATTTTTATTCCAGTATAAGACCCCTGTGCTTAGACCTGAAACTTAAAAAAAAAAAAACAAAAAAAACTTACATACTCAAATTCAGACTAACTGAAAAGAAGTACTAAAAAGTGAAATCTTAGCAGTCCCTAATATTTTGCTTTTCTCTAACTTCTTTTTAAAGTAATTAATCTTCTAACTTAGAAATGTATCTTCCTATTTTCTGGTTTTTTTTTTTGTTGTTGTTGTTGTTGGGCCCATGTAGGGTTCCTTTCAACATATTTAATTATTTCTTACAAGATTTGTTAGTCCTGTGCTAGAAATTCAATTTTTGTTTGACTTATATCTTCCAGCAGTACTTAATTTCCCTCATTGTCTAAGTGTGTGTGTCTGTGTGTGTGTGTGTCTGTGTGTGTGTGTGTGTGTGTGTGTGTGTGTCTGTGTGCGCGCGCACATGTTTGCACATGCCTGTGGTAGAGAGGTCAGAGGTTGAGGTCATGTGTCTTGCTTAACTGTTCATTCTATTGACGGTCTCTCACTTGAACCTGAGTCTTGCTGCTTGGCTGGATTGGCTGGCCAGTGAGACCCCAGGATCTGCCCATCTAACTTCCTCCAGTGCTGGAGCTGCAGATGGAGGCCACCATGCTAGCATTTATTTAAGTACTGGGGGTCCATAATCAGGTGCTCATGCTTGTCCAGCAAGAACATTACCCCCAAGCCACCTCTCCAGACCCTCAGAGAGCACTTTCCTTTGTCTAGGGAAGGCATGGACCAGTTTTCCTTGAGACATCAATGGCAGTCTATCTTCTGCCTAAGCAGAATCCCAAAGATGTCACCATCAGATAATTTGTGACTTTATGCTAATACATTACCTCTGTACTTATGTCTAATGCATAGCTCTCAGCACCCCATTTACCCACCAAAGCAAATAATTACACTCTGTTTGCCTCAAGTTTGTGTAATTTACTTGTGTGTGGAGGAGAGAAGTTTATATTAGGAAAAGAAAACTTGTGGGATTGTTAAGGCTTTTCCGAGGAGGAGGAAGCAGGTGGTGGGGATGGACAACTGTGAGGCTGACAGGCGACTGAGGTCACCTACAGTCACCCGTCTTTCCTCAGCCAGGCAATTCCATGAAACTTAACATAATGTGCTCTTGAATCTCATGCAGATGGCAATCAGAAGCTATTTCCCTGTGAAGTCTGTGGGAGATGCTTCGCAGCAGATGTTCTGGTAAACATAAAGACATTTTGTAGATGTGTTTCATTGGAGTTAAATGAACTGTCAAGTCAGTGAGGAGGCAATGGTGCCAAGATTAAAGACAGATGTGGAGAGGGGCGGGGGGGGGGGGGGG